ACAACAACAAGCCATGGTAAGAAATGTGAATTTCACTGTCCTGCTCTTTCTTGCCTTACCGGGAGAAGAGAGGACAACTATCGAGCAAATGGACAAATTACCAGCTGGAGGTAACAACATGGAGATACAGCCACTCAACACATATTCATTGAGAATTTCCTGGCTGTCAGGCACTGTATGAAAAGAACAGCCCAAAGTCCTTGCCCTTTTGGAATCCTAATGTCTATTTCACACTCAAAGGTTCAAAATTGAAAAGTTACGTTTCTTATCACAGGCAGAGATGATCATCCATGTTCTAGTCTTCCCAGCCTTCAATTCCTTCTCCACCTACTGGTCCTTCTGCCTAGAACATTCTTCCCTATCTCTTGGACTGGGTGTTCATCTGCAGAACTCAGCTCAAAGTCCTCTGCTCAGGGAGACTTTCTTTGACCTCCAGCTGAGATCAGGCAACCACAGGCTCTCATGGTTTTTCACAGTTAACCATCATTGTTTGTGATGGGCTTTATTTTCTAGTTGGTTCACTGCAGTAGCCTTCGCATCTAGAGAAGCGAATGGCGCACAGTATGTAGGTGCTTTCCCTGCATTCCACCTCAGTAGCCCGCCGTGCTGAGCTGGTACTCTCAGGTTGTTTCGGATCTCTTCTTTCCACTAGATTATATGGGGGATGAAGGAGAGTGTCTAATTGCTCTCCACATTACTGCAGCCTAACACAAGGTCTAGTCTATAGTTGTTGTTGTTGTTGTTGCTAAGTGCCATCGAGTTGGGTCTGACTCACAGCAACCCTGTATAGAGTTTCCATGGAGCAGGCTGGTGGGTTTGAACTGCTGATCTTGTGTGGTTTGCAGTTCTGTGCTGTTCCACAATGCCACACCAGAAGTCTTAATCTATAGTAGGTGTGTTAACACAGACTATACTCATTGAGCATGGAGACCTTGTCAAAAGACGATGTCCTGATCGCAAAACAGATGAAATATATTCAAATTCAATGATTTAAGTTGTTTTAACTCACTGATCAAACTAAATTCAAACCGTAGCAACTCAAAGCTGCATTTTAGTGGTT